AAATACCGTACCTTAGATACACCTCTTCAGTACTCCTCCCAAGCTTTATTGTATTGATTTCTGAAAATTACCTCAGTTATCCCGGACCAAGTTCGATGGTGCTCGCGATGCGGAAGATAAGCAACCGCAAATGCGGACGAAGCAGTACCAGTTTGAGTGGCTGGCACCTGAAAAAAATTCTGTAATTTTATTATCACACCAGCAAAACAGATACAGAAGAAACAGAACAGATGTTATTCTGTAAAAATTAATAAAGGAGATCGAAGAGGTATGTTAAAGAGAAGAAAAGCAAAAATCACCATAGAGAACAACGAAATTTTTCAAAGTTCAATCGAGGTTTGAGAGCGAGATCCCAGCGCTGCGAGGAGGGGAAAACGAGGAAAAGCCGTGGTCAACGCGAAGGCGAGATGCTGCGATTGGTAGGAGTCGTAGCGGTCAATCGAAGGCATTAGCTCCATTGTCTAGCACTTTCAGCACCGTAGTACCGCGACTCGTGCCACTGTTGCGAGTGGAAGTGCCGACACGAGGGCTCTAGGGCCTTGCTTCAACCGCTGCAACTGCTGCAACGCCAACTCTTCGTCATGAACACATGATGTAATATTTCACTCTTGGCTGAGTGTGCTTCTCTCGTTGCCTCGATGGCCTCTGCCACGCTGTTCCCTTTCCGTTTTAACCTATGGTTCGACACTCACATCTAAAGGTGAAAAAATGAAAGACGAACAGCAATTGGCGACAATACCTTAATTTCCAAAGAGATTAGGCTTCCGCGTGTCTTCACATCAGCTGTTTTCGGTGGTTTTGATGTTCCTACTACACCTGATTTTTCCAACGTAATTTGATTGCGACCAGTGCCTATAAGTTTCAAGAAGCATCCAGATTAATGATGCAAGCCATCATTATTTCAACGGTTCAGCAAGTTTATGGCGTATGCCCATCTGCGCGGCCTTCTAATTACGTTCCTTGGTTCTCCCTGCCGTTCGCCATTATGTCGCTCTTCGCTTTCATGCATTTAATCAACGGTCACCGCGTGATTTCGTTGAGGTCACGACAAGAAGATTTATATGCGGAATGTTCACATGAAGAAGACACGTGTGAAATGACTGGCTTTCTGACGTCGAACATAAAACCAGTTCAGAGACAGTAAAATGTAGCATCACAAGCCCTAATTTTCCTGCCCAGAAAAAATCTCCAATCTTTCTTACTAGTGACCGCCGAAGCCCTCGCTTTACACGCGCTCTTTCCGCTCAATGCTCTATCAAACCCTTTTGAGTTACTGTTGGAAGCTAACTCTGGCCCCTCGGCTTTTTTGTAATTAGCGCATAAAAAGTCCTCCAATCATGGTAAAGAATCAGGTCGAGCAAACACCATACCCCTACCAGTTCCAAAAATGCTTGTTGGGTGATTATAGTCAAGGCGGTTTGGTGAGGGAGGGTAACTTGAATGCAGTTGGTTGAGGGAGGGTACTTGAATGCAGTGGCAAAAACATGGCTTACTCTTGCATATTTTATTCCAATAATCTTGACTTAACAAGTTGAGAACTTCAATATTTTAGCTATACCTTGCATATCAAAATTTAAAAATTTGGTACTATTTTGATAATTTTTCTTTTGATTTTTTTCTCACTGAACAATTACCGAGGGTAGATCAGTGCCAGTGCAAACCGATAGCTGACCTGCTTGGTCCCCAGAAGAGATGTCTGATTTCAAAGTAGCAAGCTGTGTTTGTTCTCACCTACCCCCCTCCCTGCCCTATCTACGAAGCCTGGTTGACCCTGGTAGGGTTAGGAGAAAGTGGATAAAGTAGTGCTGATGCAACCAGTTCCTGGTTTTTGGCTGGAATGCTGAAGTTCATGAACTTAGAGACTTCGTAGTTGCTATTTTCTGTTCCACTAACGGGTTTCCTGTTTGGTGCAATAGAAAACAGTCATTGGACGTTCACGTGAACTTTGCTTTTTAATTAATCACTTTTACCCGACATCAACACAATCATGTGGCCAGCTCTGATTTCTCGCGGATGACTGATGAAGGCTTGGGACGAACAACTTGTTAGACTGTGCACGGCGGCCTTGCCAAGGTGGATGTTTTTCAAGGTTCACAAAAAATTCAGGAGAAGAATGTATCAGAAGGCGAACCGGAAGCAGCTGTGATTCATTGCGGTGAAGACGTCATAGCATCGTCTCACTACTACATTCGTTTGGTTCAGCCCTTGTTTCCACGAAAACCACCCCCACAGCGACACAATGGAGGGCTTAGTTTGGTCGCGAAACCGCACTTTCTCGTTCCAACCCTGGAAAAGCTATCAAATCATGACAGTTGAAACGGGTTATGGGGTCTTATCTAGTAGGGGAGACTGCGCTGCACAGCCTGCTATAATTCCAATTTGGTTTGAGGAGCCGTTTGAAGTTGCGAACTGCTACAGTTTGTTAACTGCTGCTGGCTTTTGGCCGTAGTTCGCCTTGCAAAAGCTTCACAAGAATGTGTGAAACTTTTTGTTTTGAATTTTGTTTGTTTTTGTTTGTTCTTTTTGGTTGCGATTTTTTGTGGAGTGTTTTGCCTAAACCCTGTTTTCTTGTGTAGCTATCAGTGCCGCTCAATATCCCAAGGTTTCACTGCTCCCGCGCTTTAATCCCTACTTGACGTGTGGGAAAATTTCTCAGTCGCCCATCTTCTGGTTGCTCTGCTTATTCGAAATCCTAGCCTCTTTCCAGAAGTATTTCTGATTAGAAACTCCCGCGGGCCTTCCCAAATTGTGGAGATTGATTTGTTCTCTGAGATTACATATTTTCTCCCAGTTGAGTTGAGCTGTCTGGGAATCCTGATCACTTTTCTCTCTTTTCCTGCCAAACCTGAAACCGTTACTGCCCTCTGAGTTATGGGCCAGGTAGAACCATCATCCATACTGGACCGCTTCATCCACCCATTGGACTTTCATTGTAGGCGAGTGACTATTCCATTCCGTGGCTAATCTGAACTGTGGGAAGCTGTGAATGATACTTTCTCATTCGGATCAACCTTCGCACGCTTACCCTCTATTCCTACACAAGGGGCTATTTTTCATAATGGAAAGCGTCGGTCGTCTTTCTCATCCGCTCGTCCGTCTCGCCTTTCCTTGGGCTTGAAAATTCACAACTTGCATTCAGAGCACTTGATCGCAGTCAACTAACAAGAAGACTCACTGAAAGCTGCAGCCGTCGATGCTCCATTTTCAGGTTCGAGCAATATTTCCCTGACAATCCATAGGTCCAGCTCTCGCGTGCATATTTGCGTGACAGTGTGTATGGCTTATATCTGAAAACAGCGACTTTTTGTACAAGGAGCCTGCTCCGATTACCATGTCTAAAGAGGCTGCATTAATTACTGTATTAACAACGCACAAAAAACAATTAGGCAAACGCGCTAGGAAGTCGATCCCACACCCTCGTGCCTGCGAGGCCAGACCACTACCACCGCGCTTTCCAGTGTATAGCTAGTTTCACAGAATCGTTTAGTAGGTGATAAAAGCGTTTTTGTTTAGTTTATTTGGCTGGGATGGCCCAATCTTGTTCTTCCAAACGACCACCACTTTTGCGCACCAGTAGATAGCCTTCGTAAGCACCCCTGAGCCAGCTCCTGGGGTTCGTATTTAGATCAAAGAGGTGCACTTGGCGCCCGCCCCTGTTGTGCTGCGGCCTCAGTAGTCGGTTATTTTCAGGGCTCGGTGGCCAGTGGTTCTCTAAAAGTAATTCCATCCGGTCTATATGAATCTATCGGTGCATAACGGATTGCTCCCTCAAAACTAATGGCACTAACTAATGGAGCCGTATGGAGTTCCTACCACAAACGTTTTTCTCTATTAGATAATCAATAATTCATAAATTAAATTTATTTATTTATGTATGAATAAATAAATAAATAAATAAATAAATAAATAAATAAATAAATAAATAAATAAATAAATAAATAAATAAATAAATAAATAAATAAATAAATAAATAAATAAATAAATAAATATCTCTCTTAAATAATCAAATAAATAAATGAATAAATAAACTCGATAAATAACTTTGTAATTGCTTTCTGCAGTGATTGCCATGAAATAGGTAGGAAAAGAATAGGGGGGAATATAGAATAAATATTGCTGATTCGGTCCTAATTTTGAATTTGAGATTTGTTGCTTGACTGATGAATCCACGGGCTCTTGAGCGATTTCTTAAACGGGAGCGCAGGGAACGCAAAGAAGGAGCGGTTCCAATCAGCATCGCTTACGGAGCTACAACTTCTCGAACATCAAGACTGATCTTTAGAGAGCCCCGGAGGAAGCTTCATTATTGAATTGGAGACAAAGAAGATATGGGCCATCAGACCGCTCACCTCTTGAAAACGTATCAATCTCATCTCAGCCGCTGCAAAACGAGCCATTATAAAGCCCCATGCCATCTACAGCGCAGGAATTCGGAGCAGTGTAGCCATGTTGTGTGATAATGTGACTAGAATGTCACCCGATGATTGTCACCATTATCAAAATATCCGTTTGTCGGCCGATCACAACCCAGGTATTTTCGTCGTCGTTTATCATTGCTACGTCAGTGATCGTTGAAAGACCAAACGGGTGGCTCCACCTCCCGACCGACCCCATTGGCCAGTCACCCTTCCGGCCCCGCCCACTCAACGTACCCATTGGCTGCAAACGCTGCTTTCAGCCCCCTTGTTCGACCGTGTGACCAGTCATAAAATCAGGCCGTCGGTGAAATTATAAAGAGCCGCTGCGAGCGCCGAGACAACATCAGTTTACATTGTGTCGTTACATCACAGATGGTGTACCCGACACGTGGTAATTACATACGCCTTCCTTCTTGCGCCGCAGGTGATTTTTAGCCCTTCCATTTGTTTTTATTTATTTATTTATTTTATTGTTTGTTATTTGTTTTGAATTACATCTTTTGTAGCGGTCGAAGCGAAGCCTTTGAATGAACTATTCGAGAAGCTTATGAAGAAGCATACCGAAATTAAAACCAGCAATTGATGCAGTTTATCTCAAAAGCCGTACCGTACGGTATCGATCCGCCAAATCCAAAAATAGCTGAGTAAGTGATTTTGTTCGATTACTGTAAAATCTATTGTTTAGTCTCTGCCTTTATCAGCTGATTTTCAGATATGAAACATTCAAATCGGACAAATCAGCAAATTTCATCCGTGACGGCAGTGGTCACGTCGTATTCCGACAATACAAGCGGTTACGTCTGGGTGATGTGAGTTTCCATCTCGCTGTACATATTTTTTTTATATTAAAAATCCTTTCGCACGGGTATAAGAAAAATCTATTTGGTAGCCTTTAGCTCTGAGTCTCTTGCCCCACTGACCAAAAGGGTAAAAGGATAAAGTATTCAGCGTCGTCTCAGTAATTGTGCGTCCGGAACCTCATCAGGACTAATGTTTCTAAAACACACAGATGGCCACCAAAATTTTATTTTTGAAATAATATTCATTGGAATTTGAATTATAAAGTTTGGTGCCTCTTCGTGTTTTATAATATTTAGCGTTGATCAATCCCATTTGGGACGCGCCACGCACTGGATTTCCACTCAGAATCGTAGTAGCGTTTGAATGCGATGTGGCCTATACAATGACTTGCGGGGCCAGCCGAGTCAAGTCAGTGTTTATCCTCCCAGACAAGTCTGGTACCAATTAACCGACCCCGGAGGGATGGAAGGCTTGGTTGGCCCGGGCGACTCACGACCCAGGATTTGATCCCGGACCGCTCGCGTGGTGAGCGCGCCACTTGTCACTACACCACTTCCGTACGTAACGGTACATATACCGTATACCATCCCAATCATCGCTAAGGAGAAAGTCTGAGCATGAAACGGTCGAGCAGTGAAAGTCGGCTGTGAGAGAATATATCTGGCAGGCGGTAATCTTTGTCTGCACCAGTATCTGTGCCGAGCAGGAAATGTTTGGGTGACAGAAGATTACCGATTGGGACCTGCTCTGCATCGTTTCCCTCTAGCATAGCTACCCACAATGGATGGTGGATTCCACACGCAAGCCTGCTTCTTTGGCGGTCGATCTTGCGCATCCGCGACAAAAATCTGACTCTAATGAAGGCGAAGAGGCCAAAACCTAGGCCTAATAGAAAGTACTGTAATCTTGGACGGGCTACATGCGGAGATGGGAACTTACGGGAAAAAGCGAAGACGACAATGGAACCCCACATCAAGTTATTACGCAACATTAACTTTCCATGCCAATATTAAGAGAAAGGACCCTATGGGGTCGCCTATCATGTAAGAGCAACTCTTTCCTTTAAAAAGTTGTGATACGCTGCCAATCCACAACGGTCCCTGAACCTGCTGATCACACTCTTCTTTTGACTTGGGCTCTTTTTCTAGCGCTGATACCTGTTTCATTGAACATTGGATAGGGTTGAGGTGATAAATCAACCCATCCGAATGGCATTGGCATTCCATACTCTCTCATGATCAAATCGCTAAGATATAAATAGACGAGAAAGATTTCAAACTGCCCGAATCCTTTTTTGTTTGCATCACGTCAAAAGTGAAGCGCCCGTGCTCACGACAGGAATAAACCACTTTTGATGTTCAGGTTTTGCAACGAAGAGGCCGAAGTGGAATCTAGACGACGATGACGACGGTTAGGAGAAGAGAACGAATCTGCCGACGAGCTGATATCTCAACAGCGATGAGCAATCAATGATCTCAAAAGAAAACCAACGGACTCATCCACTGCTTGAATGGATGTAAATCAAATGTACATATGGTAGCTGACTTGAACGCATCTTGTCAACAAGTTACTGAGATGAGATTATTTCATGTCGATAGTATAAATAAAAAGATCTCCGCCACAAATCTATTTTATTTGGAACACGCCATGCTGTCGACTTCTGCTCGAATTCGTTGACATCTTCGAACTTAAAGTTATGCAACTGCCTTTTAACGCTTTTGGCCTTGGCGGTGGCAATTGCCACCATCAAATTTGAAGATCTGCACCGACGCAACAACATATTCCTACTACCCACTTCTAGAGGTTGCTTCACACGACCCTTTCCTTCCTAATTTTGCTGCAGCAGTGAGTTCCGCTGTTCTTAGCAATCTGCTAGAAAGTGTCAATTATTTCCAAAATATTGGAATAAATTCATTTTAGTATCAAGAACGTGAAGTGCATCTCGTGCAAAACCATGAAGCTTTTCGACATGAGTAAGAAACTTGGGCATTTTCCGCCATAAACTAAAGAACTAGGAAACTAAGCGCTTCTAGTTTCCCAGTGTATGGGCTCCACGGCTCCTAATTTTATTATAGCGTTAATTATGTGCTCATAATAATAAACGATAGCAAGATTTTTTATCTAACGGAAAAATCAAATCAGAGCTGAAAGGGTAAACTGGAACAATATTTATGGGTCACAACAAAAAGTGTAGGCGCCCATGGTTGAAGGCTTTTAATGAAACCAATTGAAACTCTCTCAACCTAGAACAGCTCCGAAACTGGGGTTCACGGAAAAGAACGTGGCGTCTGTGAGGCTTCCATTTCAAAAATCTGCAATGAGTCCCACGTGACCATGCAGGTGTGGACAAAAATTACTAACACAGAGCGCTAAAAACTCTTGCAGGATCCTTCCGAACCGAATTAAGTGCATCTGGTCCGGAAGAACCCTCGCGAGAGGAACCACTGGGACACACTCAGCAATATATATCCGCCACACAAAGCAACAAATGGGTTTTATTGTCCGTGGAGTGATGAAGACGATCCGTTGTACAAGTATCATTGAAGCATCGATGAAATTAAAGCAACAGTTCAGGAACGGTTTCGCGGGAAAAAACCACCAATAATGAAGTTGTAGATGAAAACCAGACGATTAATGTATGAAAAACTGGAAAAAAACGTCGGGGAGGGTCTTAGACAGGTACTCTCCCTCTGCCGCTCAGCAATGGATAAAGACGCACGTTGGACGAGTTGTCTGAACGTGCCCGCTGTAAACGCGCTCCATTTTTCAATCAATTTTCCCTGTGGTCCCAAAACGAGCACGATTGCCGACGCGTCCAATGACGGCCGGCAAGGGGGCGGGATTGGGGAAATCCCCAAGAACACCCATGTTTGAGGGACTTTCCACCCTGTTTTTGAGTTTCTGAGGTAAGTTCGTTTATTATTTCCACTGCATATGTTCTTCACTAGGGCTCGTGTATCCCTCAGTAGTAGTGGCATTGAAATTTTCGGACCCTCCCTGAACTGTTGCTTTAAAAGAAAAGTCGGATTGCCCACCTACACAACGATGCGTTACCAAGCCGATGACTTCACCCAGGTACAAACGCGACAGCGGCCAGTCCAAGAAGTGATGTTGTATTCTGTTTGGTAAAGTTCCTATGAATACATTGCTGTGGTTCCACGTGTGTCTTCCTGGCCGCATTGCTTTTCCATGAACACTTTATCTTCTTACCGTAATTTTTGCCCACCCTTTAATACAACACCAACAAAACCGTCTAATAGTGCTATATGCTACCTTTGAATAACCCTATTTTCCCACAGTAAGTAAACAACGTGACGAAATATGATTTTTCAAAAGGGCGCACGGCTGGGAATTCGTCCCAAAACCGAGCTTCTATTCAGGTCGATGGCGAAATTCCATTGATCACGGCAATTTTAACACACGTTGACGACAACCGTGTCGTGCATTTCGACAAATTTTGTGGAATTTTCTTAAAGCAACAGTTCAGGGAGGGTCCGAAAATTTCAATGCCACTACTACTGAGGGATACACGAGCCCTAGTGAAGAACATATGCAGTGGAAATAATAAACGAACTTACCTCAGAAACTCAAAAACAGGGTGGAAAGTCCCTCAAACATGGGTGTTCTTGGGGATTTCCCCAATCCCGCCCCCTTGCCGGCCGTCATTGGACGCGTCGGCAATCGTGCTCGTTTTGGGACCACAGGGAAAATTGATTGAAAAATGGAGCGCGTTTACAGCGGGCACGTTCAGACAACTCGTCCAACGTGCGTCTTTATCCATTGCTGAGCGGCAGAGGGAGAGTACCTGTCTAAGACCCTCCCCGACGTTTTTTCCAGTTTTTCATACATTAATCGTCTGGTTTTCATCTACAACTTCATTATTGGTGGTTTTTTCCCGCGAAACCGTTCCTGAACTGTTGCTTTAAAGAACATTACTCTACAAAACCCACCACTCATTGGTTCCCTCAATGTTTTCACGGATAGATCAATGCTCCCAACATAATTTAATCATATGCACCGACTAAAACGAGCCCCATGCGGGTAAAAATCTGACGTGCATGCCCGTCACACTGTCATCAACGTGCCAAACTTTCTCCAGAACAAGAGGGACAAAATCCCTTTGAATTTTCTTTGACTTCTCTACCTTCTCTAATCGCCCTAGGAAAGGGCCTATTGGTATTACATGTGCATGTAAAAATAAACATGCACGAAAAATGGGGAAAGTATGTCGTATAATACAAAATAAATCCAAAAAGTGGATTCTCCAACTGCTCTAGCCTGGGGAAGGCATGGGGTGGGCCCAAGAAAACGGAGCACAGTTTGGAGCGCCAGTCTAGAGTGCCTGCATAGCGTACACTGATGTCTGTCATGGTTTCGCAGACTTTTCAAAGCATCTCCGTACTTCGTCTGTACGTTCTGTCCCTCGTCTGTCGTTCTGTCCCTCCTACTTCTGTAAAGCGCTTCGTCTGTCGTTCTGTATGTCTGTCACGAAATTCCCTAGCTCCTCGGGATCCGCCTGGAGGGACCGGGTCAAGTGTGGGATGGGTGGGCAAGGTCTCACGAAATACAAAACACACATCAGCTAAGCGGAGCCCCGCCCACAGTGGGCGTGGCGTGCATCGAAATGAGTGACCAGAATACCTAAACACTGTGTGCACTCAATGCACGTGTCGCGCTAGAGTCTGTGCACCCACTCCTTGTCATTTTACGCCTGATATTACTTACAATAACTCAATTTTTCGAGGTGATGTAAAGGCCCCCAAAGCGAATCACCATGAAAACGTCTTGTGAAAGCTAGGTATCACCCAGTTGCCCAGCAATGTACACTGAGTAATGAAGGACCATATAAAAAAATTTCACGGTAGCCACTACAGCTCATTTTTTTGGTTACCACAATGCCTTCAGATGATTCATTATCAGCAGCAGCGGTGAACTTTGTTGCTGCATTGCAACCAGATTGAATGATAAGACAGATGTTTGCGCTCATGTTGTAATGAAGCAAGAAAATAAATCATTTCTGCATACCGTATCCGATGCAAGTAAAGAAAACACAATTTGAAATTTGAACGCTGCAACTGACATTCTCACGTGCTGGAATGATACTTGAACCCCTTTCCTCGACTCGACTACCCGGAACTGATAAGGACATCAGGAGTCGCAACAAACTGCATGGACTTCTCTCCATTCGTCCTTCAAAGGAGAATTCACACGATGAGGTCAGAGATCAAAGAATTAGAAATTTAACCATCTAGTGGAAAGACAGGCGGACCTCCTAAGGGTGCGGGACGATGCGCGTTTCATACCGAAGAGTAAGTCTCTAGCGACCCAACAGGGCCATACCCACGCCGCGGCACGCCCTCCCTCCAGCTCTCTGACTCTAGCGATTTAGCAAAGAGAGATGAGCGTTGAGAGACATCAATGCGCATTAAAGGAATCTTGCGCGGAAAAATCATGATTCTATTTCAGCCATAAATCACTGGCTTGAGACTCATTATCCACGATAATAGTGAAAAGAACTGAAGTATTGCTTTCGTTTTGATTAGAAATTCGAAAACTCGAAAAGGCTGCTACGCGTTCGAATTGCCCACGGACGTCTTTCACGAATGCTGGCGACGGGGATGCTCAAACTTGGTTCTTGGAGTGCATTCACTAGAAGCTCTTTCTGGCCTTCTGCTTCGTTGCATTCACATCTTACACTTCTACTCCATCCTATTCCATCGATCGATTTGTCTCCACTCTCCGAAATCGCGCGCTTTAACCCGATTCTCTCATTGCGTCGCCTGGTACGTAGCCGGCCAAACGCCGTCTTCTTTCCATGCCTCGCCTGGCTCTGCCTCCTGGTCCTTCGATGGTCCATAACGTGTAGTTTTTGTACGTTTGTTTCTCTTCAGAAACCGAATCTTCATGCGTGAAACTTTGTGTGCTATTTCCAGTGATCACAACTGACATATTCATGTTAGGAAAGAGTGCAAGAATTTTCCGCGCAAGATTCCTTTAGGAAGGAGTCCATTTCGGGCTTTTGTTTTCTATATAAATTTTTATAATTCCCTGCACAGTTGGGACATCCGTTACGTGGGCTTCTAATGGGTGCTTTTTTCGTCCTATTTCCCCGCCTTTGAACCAAATGCGACCCGTTTCTCGGCGATTTATTTTACAAGGTCTTCAACCAACTTCAAAACTTGCGGTTCTGGCCTTTTCTTTCTCATCCTGTCACCCTTGCATATTCATTATGTTACATCTATGTCCATCATCTTATCACGTGGCATGGCATTTCGTCTCATTTCTCAGTGTTTGTGCGGGATGGTGGCGAGCGCTTTGCTGGGCGCTTTTTTCATTTGACGAGCCAACTTCGAGTTCTTCGTACGATAAAAGCTGGATCACTGCTACATTCTTAA